AAGTCCAACATTATTGATCGAAATTGGACCAAAGTCGACCTGTCAAAGTCATCCTTAAGCCTTTTGAACGTCAAGAGAGTTATAGAGCCACAAATCCCACTCGATAACACTTGACTTTTTCTTGTGAATGGAGTATCTCCCTATTACTACCTACGAGTTTGAACTAAAGTATTCTCGTAAATTTGTTAGGTCAGTTGTCTGCAAATGACAGCTAAAACAAATCTTTATCTGTTTTGATCCCAATGGATCCAATTTACACATGGCAATTAAATGTTTAGGATATAAATTAGCAGATAGACAACTGGAAGGAAAAGCGTTGAGAAGTTGAACTAACACACGTACCAACAAAGTCAACATTTCTGCGGTTTCTCCACATCCCATGTCTATATAAACTTGAGCACATAAATATTCAGGCATAAATCAGAAGTAAGATTGAAACAATTTGCTAGAAAGTTTTCCTGAGTCACCTTGTTATTTGTTAGAGCAATGGCATCTAATAAACCCACCCAGTTTTTCTTTTCAATGTTGATAGTGTTGCTATCGATAAGTGGAAACAAGAATCAAGTTGAGGCACGACGTCTATTGGAAACCTCATCTGAGGCTCCAACATTTCCAAAGTTAGAACTTCCACCAAAACCTGAGTTGCCAACACTACCTAAGCCAGAGCTCCCTCTGAAACCTGAGGTGCCAACATTGCCAAAGCCAGAACTCCCACCAAAACCCGAATTACCTAAGCCCGAGGTGCCAAAACCTAAGGCACCAACAATGCCAAAACCAGAGCTTCCGCCAAAACCTGAATTATCTAAGCCTGAGTTGCCTACAATTCCAAAACTTGAGGTGCCTACATTACCAAAGCCAGAATTCCCACCTAAAATTGGACCTTCAACATTATCGAAACCAGAGCTGTCGCCAAAGCCCGAACTACCTAAGCCTGAGGTGCCAACATTGCCGAAGCCAGAACTTCCACTGAAACCTGAATTGCCTAAGCCAGATTTTCCTACAATGCCAAAACCTGAGTTGCCTGCAGTGCGAAAACCAGAATTCCCACCAAAACCTAAATTGCCTAAGCCAGAGTTGCCAACAATGCCAAAACCTGAACTGCCAACAATTCCAAAGCCTAAACAGCCAACTTTGCCGATGCCAGAAGTTCCTAAAAAGTCTGAACTCCCCAAGCCCACATTGCCAGAAGTTCCAAAGTCTCCATGAATCATCTACTTCAACTAAGTAATCGAACATATGAATTTTATAGAATTAAATTGTTGGATTAGTTTAGGATTCAACGAATCATCTTTCAATATGATTTGTTCATGTAATAATTTTATTTGTCTTCGTGTTCCATCATGAGTTTTTTTTTTTTTTTTTTTTTTTTTTTTTTTT